AATGGAAACCAGAAAATCAGTACAAAACCATTTGTTTTTATGAAACAAGCAAAATTGAAAAACTTAGCTAGAAAAACTAAGAAAAAGAGAATTCAAAATAATAAAATCAGAAAGAGGAAATATTGCAACTGATACCACAGAAATGCAGGCATCATAATAGACTATTATGAAGAACTATTCAGCACATTAGATAATCTACAAGAAATGGATCAATTCCTATACATATATAATCTACCAAGACTGAGCCACAAAAAGATAGAAAATCTGAATAGATCAATAACAAAGGAGGATATCGAATAAGTAATTAAAAAACAAAAAACAAAACAAAACAAAAAAACTTACCAGCAAAGAAAATCCCAGGATCTCATGTCTTTGTAGCTGAATTCTAGCTAACATTAAAGAATGACTTACTAATCCTTAAATTCTTAAAAATATCAAAGAGAGTGAATGCTTCCAAACTCTGTTTAATGAGACCAGTATTTCCCAGCCCAGAAAAGGCCATCAAAAGAAAAGAAATTATAGAGCAATATCCTTGATGAACATAGATATTAATTTCCACAATGACATACTGCCAAAACAAATTCAATGACACTTAAAAAGAATCTTCCACCATGATTGATTCCTGAGATTTAAGCATGGTTCAACATATGCAACTCAATAAACAGCATGTATAACATTAGGTAAAGAACAAAATCCATATGGTCATCTCAGTAGACGCAGAAAAGGCACTTGACTGAATTTGACATCTTTTCATCATAAAAAATTTTTACCAAGTTAGCTAGAGAAGGAGTGTACCTCAACACAGTAAAGGCCACTTTGGAGAAGCCCACAGCTGACATTATGCTCAATGGGGAAAAAGTGAAATCCTCATCTCGAATGAGACAAGGAAAGGGAAGAATATGATCAAAGAGTACAAAAATCTTTGATAGCAGGATATATATATGGTTTTTTAAATATCTATAGCACAGTTTAGTGAATATAGATAATAACAGTGGAGTGTACATTTTTAAAATATTGAGAGTAAATTTCAAATGTCTTCACCTCAATAAATATTAGTTATTTGATGTGACAAATATGTTAACTAGGTTGATTTCACCACATTGTATTCATCATAACATCATTTTGAATCCTATAAATTTATACCATTATGAATTGTCAACTTGCAACTAAAAAGTAAATAAAAAATGAAAAGTAAAAGGAAATGTGGTTGTAAGTTATACATTTTCACAAGAGACTTACTTCAGAGTAGAAATCAAGAAGTACAAAATACAAAAACAATAAAGAAAAGCCAATGAAACCAAAAACTGATTCTTGGAGTAAGATCAATTAACTAGCCAGCCATATCAGGAAAAAATGAAATAAAGGAATTAAACTACTATTATAAAGAATGAAAGAGGTAATATGACTACAGATTCTGCCCATATTAAAATTATAAAGACACTCTCATAAATTTATGCCAATAATTCTACAACTGGGATGAAACAGCAAACTTTTCAAGTGACACTAGCTACCAGAGTTACAAGAACTGAGAAATAACTGGTATGGAAATAAGCTTTGTGTCTTATAAATTGAAAATAAATTTGGAATTCAAACTTTCCCATAAATAAAACTTTAAGCCCACATGATTTCATTATTTATTCTATCAAACATGAAGGCAGAAAATAATATTGATTCCCTATAATCTATTAAAGAATATAGAAGCATAAGGAACTTCATGATTCATTCTTTTTAAAAAATATTTATTTTTTTAGTTGTAGGTGGACAAAATACCTTTATTCCATTCATTTATTTTTATGTGGTGCTGAGGATCAAACCCAGGGCGTCCCACACATGCTAGGTGAGCACTCTCCCACTGAGCCACAATCCCAGCTCCGTGATTCATTCTTTAAGACCAAAACCAGGTAAAGACATTACAAGAAAGGAAAATTAAAGACCTAGGATCATAGATGTACGCACTCTAAGCAAAAGCATATCAAATTCAATAAACATAAAGATATATAACATTAAAAAGATAATGCATAAAACAAAGTGGGGTTTGTCCTAGGGATGCAAAGCTGGTTTAACATTAAAAAATTAATTGAGGTTGTATAGCCATGTTCATAGCAGCACTAGAAGCAAACCAAGAGTCCATTCATAGATGATTGTAAAAGCAAAATGAAGAATATAAATATAATAGGATACTGTTCAGCCTTAAAAAGAAAGGAAATTCTGTCTAGCCAGAGAGATTAGGCAAGAAATGGAAATAAAAGGAATAAGAATTAAAAAGGAAGAAGTCAAATTATCACTATATGCAGATGATATGACCCGGTATCTAGAAGATCCAAAAATTTCATCAAAAGTCTGTTAGAGCTAATAAACAAATGTGGTGAAGCAGCAGGTTACAAAATCAACATTCAAAAATCAATAGCTTTCCTATATACCAATAACGAATCTGCTGAAAAAGAAATCAGGAAAATAATTCCATTCACAATAATCACAAAGAAAAAAATCTAGGAATAAATCTAACCAAAGAGGGGAAAGACCTCTATAGTAAAATCTATAGAATAATGAAGAAATAAATTGAAGAAGATCTCAAAAGATGAAAAGAACTCTATGTTCATGGATAAGCAAAATCAATATTGTTAAAATGGTCATATTATAAAAACAAATGTACAAATTCAATGCAATCACCATCAAAATACCAATGAAATACTTCACATTCATAGATAAATAGTCCTAAAATGCAGAATAAAAGACCCAGAATAGCCAAAACAATTTTAAGCCAAAAGAGCAAAGCTGGAGACAGCATAGTACCTGATTTCAAATTGTTCTACAGAGCTATAGTAACAAAAACTGCATGTATGGGCATAAAAACTGACACATAGACCAATGATACAGAATAGAAGACACAGAGACAAATCCACACAGATAGAGTTATCCAGTCCTTGACAAAGATGCCAAAAATATACATTAGAGAAAAGATAGTCTTTTATACAAATGGTGCCAGACAACTGTTTTTTTTTTTAAAGAGAGAGTGAGAGAGGAGAGAGAGAGAGAGAGAGAGAGAGAGAATTTTTAATATTTATTTTTTAGTTCTCGGCGGACACAACATCTTTTTTGGTATGTGGTGCTGAGGATCGAACCCGGGCCGCACGCATGGCAGGCGAGCGCGCTACCGCTTGAGCCACATCCCTAGCCCAGACAACTGGTTTTTCATATGTGGAAGAATGAAACTAGATTTTCATCTCTCACCTTGTACAAAAAATCAACTCAAAATGAATCAAGGACCTCAGAATTAGACCAGAAACTATGAAACTCCTAGAAGAAAATATAGGGTCAACACTCCAGCATATAGGTACAGGCAATGACTTTCTCAATAAGAATGCCTAAAACTCAGCAAGTAATGCCAGGAGTTAATGAGGTAGCATCAAACTTAAAAGCTTCTGCACAGCAAAGGAAACAATTAGGAATGTGAAGACAGAACTCACAGAATAAAATAAAATCTTTACTGGCTACTCTTCTGACAGAGGATTAACTCCTAGAATATATAAAGAGCTCAAAAAATCTTTACACCAAAAAATCAAATAACCCAATAGATAAATGGGCAAATGAGCTAAACAGACTCTTCTCAAAGGAAGGAATACAAAGGACCAACAAATACATGGAAAAATGTTCAACATTATTAGCAATTATGGAAATGCAAATAAAAATAACACTGAGATTTCATCGCACACAATTTAGAATGGCAGTCATTAAGAATACAAATAATAATAAATGCTGAAGAGGATGTGGAGAAAAAGGAACACTTTTACACTGTTGGTGGGACTGTAAATTAGTACAACTGTTATGGAAATCTGTATGGAGGCTCCTCAAAAGACTAGGCATGGAACCACCATACGATCCAGCTATACCACTTCTCTCTTCAATTCCTGAAGAATTAAAGTCATCATACTACAGTGATATACGTGCATACCCATGTTTGTAACAGCATAATTCATGACAGCCAAACTCTTGAACCAGCCTTGGTGTCCATCAACAGATGAATGGATAAAGAAAATGTACTATATAGATGCACAATGGAGTTTTATTCAACCCTAAAGAAAAATGGAATTCTGGCATTTGCAGGAAAATAGATGGAAATAGAGACCATCATGTTAAGTGAAATAAGTCAAATTAAGAAGGTTAAGGGCTGTAATATTTTCTGCTATGTGGAATCTAGAGAGGAAAAAGGAAAAGAAAGGTGGGTAGAATCTCATGAAAACCAAAGGGAGGTAAGTAGAATAGAGAAAAGGAACGAGGGGGAGATAGGAGGGAAGGGAATGGGAAATACTTGTTACTGCTGTTTACTGGTTAACAAATTGCAATAATTTATAGTAAAATAGAAATTAACTTTTCATAACTTTGTGATGAGCTGGCTCCCAAACTTAAGATGGAATTAGACTGGGTTCATCAGTTATATAGGACCAAATCCCTGGAATCATTCATTTTGTGGGTTATCAGTATTTTTCAGCATTTCAGAGGCTCAGAGCATATGGAAATGGACATGAATCCTGCTAAACCAAGAGAGCAAGACAAGCAAGAATACCTAGGTATGGCATAGTTAGTTCTGAACAACAATTCCACTATTTGCTTGGAAACTGGGTGGCCAATTTCTAAGCAAAGAGCCTTTTGTAGTCTAAAGATGATGTCCAAATTTTGCTTCTGGAAAAAAACCAAAAAAGCATTTTTTATTCAAATTTAATTTCCTTTATAGTTTTGCTGAGTTACAAAGTCCAAAATCACAGCTTTAAATTCTGTTCTACACTTATATTGCTTTAGAGTACATGATTTTTCTCCTGTGCAAATATGATAAGCTATTCTTATTTGGAAAGAAAACAAAAGGGTAATTCAGTAAATGTGACTAATAAATCATTGTTCTTCTGCTTAAATTGTTGGCACTAGGTATAATATTTTTATATGAGTTTATGAATACATGCCTGTTCTTGTTGTATGTTTTGTGCCTGTACTTCTTCTGCCTACTGTATCCCTTGAGCTTTGTGTCCAAGCAGCTGGATTGTTCTGGGCTCAGCTATCCCATGGCTCCTGCTCTTTTGCCTGCCACCCTTCCTCTGTGTGTGTGTCTGCTGCTGGCTTCTGGCTTTGCCCAGGCAGGCAAGCTGCTGGTGGTGCCCATGGATGGCAGCCACTGGTTTACCATGCGGTCAGTTGTGGAGGCAGTTGTTCACAGAGGGCATGAGTTGGTTGCTGTCATGCCAGAGGTGAGTTGGCAACTGGGACAGTCACTGAATTTTACGGTGAAGACTTATTCAACTTCTTACACTCTGGAGGACTTGGACAGAGAATTCAAGTTTTTTGCTGACACTCAATGGAAAACTCCAGAACAAAGTATGTATGGTCTAGCAATGGGTTCATCCAAAGCATTTTTTGACATCACTTTTTCACGGTGTAGGAGTTTGTTTAATGACAAGAAGCTAGTAGAATACTTAAAGGAAACCTCTTTTGATGCAGTGTTTTTGGATCCTTTTGATGTGTGTGGCCTAATTGTTGCCAAATACTTTTCTCTTCCATCCGTGGTCTTCACCAGGGTAGTGTTTTGCCATCACCTTGAAGATGGTGCACAGTGTCCCAGTCCTCTGTCTTATGTTCCCAGATTTTTAATGATGTCCTCAGATGCTTTGAGTTTCATGGAGAGAGTAAGGAACCACCTGAACTACTTGGAAGAACATTTATTTTGCCCTTATTTTTTCCAAACTGCCTTGGAAGTCGCCTCTGAAATTCTCCCAACACCTGTCACAATAGGTGATCTCTTCAGCCAAATATCTATTTGGTTGTTAAGAACTGACTTTGTTTTGGAATATCCCAGACCTGTGATGCCCAACATGATCTTCATTGGTGGAATCAACTGCCACCAGAGGAAGCCACTACCCAAGGTATGTTGTGTCTCCCTTAGCACACTGCGGAAAACCTGGCTTTGGGTGTTAAGAAAGAACCCTTACTGAGCTGTGATTCTTTATTAACATCCATCTTTCTGGGTTAACAATTGTTTGGTGCCTATTCATTAAGTGTGGGTTAGAAAATTGTATAAAGCTGGCCTCATTGATATTTATGTGCATATCAGTGATGGAATTCATGTCATTTCTAAGTTTCATTTCTATTACTGCTTCAGAAAACCTCTGAGAATAACATTAGTATTTTAATGATTTTTTTTGCCAATCCTATAGGAAAGTGTTCTGAGCAGTTTTGTATGCATGTTTTTGAAGTTATTGTATATGTATTCATATATGTAATGCAAACTTTACATCTACTTTATTAAATATTATCTAATAATAAAGTGGACTTGCAGGTTTCACTTGGTAATGTATTGTAGACATGTTCACTGTCCAATACTTATAAAGGTAACATGTTCATTTAGTTAATTGCATTGAAAGCTTTAAATACCTTTTTCTTTTGAATAAACCAATAGTGATAGATATTTAAATTTTTTCTGCTTTTTGCCTCTTTGAACAAGACTATAGTAACCATTCTAGAATGTTTTATGCCCACTCATATGTTCCATATTCTTGCTGTTTTCTTTGTATCGCAGGAGCACCCTAGGAGTAGAGCTGCTGGTTGGGTGCTGTGCTCATGTTATGTTTAAATAACCTTCAGAGTCTTAAGCAACCCCCCTCTTTGATCAGTAGTATATGAGAACTCTCTTACATACCTACTTCAGCTCCAGCTGTTGTGACTTTTGTCAATTTTTGGACAGACTATTGAGTGTAAATGTTTCAGTTTTTGCTTTCTGTTTCCATAGATATGTTAGGCATTTGAATTTCTTTTCTTGTGAATTTCATACTCACAATCTTTTTTGCGGTGGGGGGGATGCACACTGGGGATTAAACTCAGGGGCACTCTACCACTGAGACACGTCCCCATCCCTATTTTATATTTTATTTAGAGACTAGGTCTTACTGAGTTGCTTAGTGCCTTGTTTTTGTAGAGACTGGCTTTGAGCTCGAAATCTCCCTGCCTCAGCAGCCCGAGCCACTGGGATTACGGCATGTGCCACTGCGCCAGACTCATATTCACATGTGTTAAGTCATTTTCAATATGGTTATCTGTCTTTTTATAACTAGTTTCTTTAATCCTCTATTTGGGTATTATTAACACAGCTTTTAAATATGTGCTGTAAATAAATTTTCTGGAGCTGTTCTTCATCTTTTGACATATAGGATTTTCGATTTTGAGGAGTTACAATGTAATGGTTTTCTTAAAGCATTCTGGATCCCAACTTGTTTGTGTCTTTCCTGACCTGAGATGTAGAAAATTTTTTTTTCACATCATTTTATTTTTTTCAACTCCTCCAGTGTTGCTAACTTTTTTCTTTTTGCAAATAGACCTTTAACTACACAGTGCAAACATCTGATTTTATTTGTTTCTCTAAGGTTAGTCTGATGTCTCAACTTCTTGTGATCCTAATTCCATTCTTCATCCATTGCACTGAGCTGCATATATATTTATTTTTAACTTTCTATGGTCTTCGCATCTGTGTTGGCACTCTCAGTTTTTTCCCCACTGAATTATCTACTTATGTGTCACTACTGTGTTCTAAGTTGCTCTGTGGAAAACTTAAATATGTGTGTCTCACTATCTGTATTTCTAAATGTTCCTGGGGATTGTCATTACGAATGCTGCTTCATAAAATTTTAAATTGTTTTTGTCAAGGTCCAAAAATTTAAAACAAGCCATTTGTGTTAATATTAAATCTTTTCATAAATTTGAGAATGATTGGCACTTTTTTTTTCTTTTTTCTTGCTTTTCAGGAAGATGTATTTCTTTTTATTCATTCAGAGTGTTTTTTGATACCCAATTAGGTGTTTACATTATTTTTAATAATGTCATGGTTCAAACATCTGAAAGAATATATATCTGTTTATACATACATTTCATTGATTTGGCCTACATTGAATTTATTTTTGAGGTGAAGTTTTACTGGTGTATTAAAACTGTATATAATTATGGCTTTATTGTTACATAATCACTCTTGCTCATAACATAATTGGGTCAGTTTCACTCCCCAGTTCATTTCCTTTCCCTCTCTACCTTCCTACCCTGGTTCCTTTGCATTACTCTATTGATATTTTAAATGTCCATGAGCAAAAAGTTTCATTTTATTTGTACAATCATTTTATCTCCCTCTTAAAATATATTTCTAGGCATTTTATTATTTCTGCACAGAGCAATTTCTTTTGAACTGGTGGTTATTGGTAATGGACAGCTTTTGTGCATTCATTTAATATCTAGTTACATTCCTATGTTTTTCTTAGTTTGTGAGATTGATTTGGTATGTAATAGCATCTGCAAGTCATTCTCTCTGCTGGTATTTTCACCAACTATTTTGCTTTATTGAAACTCATGAGTGTATTTCTCTAGGCACATTAAATTGGTATTCAGTCATCTGCAATTGAAAAAATCTTGACAAATACAAAACTATTTTTCTTGGAAAATATATTGTGATAATTTCTGGTGGAACACTTCATATATTATCTCAGCATATTATTAAGGATGAACTATGTATTTTTACCCATGGCTCTGGCTTCTGGCCTGTTCAAAGTCCTGAACTTTGTAACATAGTACTGTTTTCTCTACAGGTATCTGCAAGGAGATACATGTTGCAGGATTTTAACAAGCTGAGTCATTCAACAGGCTTTTCTCCCTTTTACTCTCTATCAGCACTGTGCCAGTCACCAGGAGGCACTGCCTGTGCTCCTGCCCTCTACCCTGGGGTGGGGCCCTGCACCTTCCTGAACCCACAGTGAAGTCAGGATGGCTCATGGTATCACCTATAGGGTTTTAGGAAGACAGAATTTGTATATGATTTTATATCACCATTGTTTAGAAATGCCTATAAAACACTGAACCATATAGAGTTTCAAATATGTTTGGCTTTATATATAGCACTCATATTAAAAATAAAACATTTGCTTTTCTAATGTATTAAAGGATATGTGTGGATGCAAACTTTTATACATTGGGAGACTGTATACATTTATAAATATAAAGTAAGTATGATTCTCAAAGAGAAATTAAGATCTCATAGGGCCTTATGACTCAGAGCCTGGATGTAGCACAACTATAGATATTAATTTTCATCTAAAGAACAATGAACCATCTGTATTTCTTCATCTTTGATTCAGGCAGGCAGGCTTTCTCTTAAAAATCAGTGTTTGGGTTGCTGGAGAACAGGAGTCATAGTCTGAGTTGCATCTATTTGTTGAGAAGAAAACTCTATGTCAGTGTGTGTTATTGTTTATGTACGTGTGCATGTGCTTCAAAGACACGTGTTTGTGTGTCTAAGGTCCTACATAGGGGATTTTAATAATGGTGTCCTGTAACAAAATTCCATGAGTCTATCCAGAGGAATTATAACCAAGGATTTCATTGACTTCTTTAACAAGGTACAGATCATCATTTGGGAGAATGTTAAAATTGTTTTAATGGGGAAAAAGCAATTATTCCCAGTCTTTTGGAATTATTGGTGAGTTCCAGAGCAATGCAGTCCCATTGTGAGGAAATCAGTTTCAGTCTATGTAATTCAGGGTAGTTCTAGCTCTGGAAAATTGGGGCTTGGATGCAGTTACACAGTAGTAAGAGAGTGCTCATCCCATTTCTTCCATATTTTAGTTCCATGCCAAAATCCAATTTCAAATCTAGCTATTTGTGTGTTAGCCCAAGGCCTCTTACCAAGATTGTTTTTTTTTTAACATTTGGTAAACTTTTTAAACATACACAAAGGAGCTATAAGTTTCATGAACATCTACATATCCAACTTTAGATAAAATAATTTTTAATACTGTGCTATACCAACCAGTTCATCTGTTTACTTTCCTCTCTCTAAAAATTTTTTTTGCTGTCTTTCTTGTTAAGGAAATTTATAAAATACTAAACTATTTCTTAAATGGAAAAAAACATAACCTACATAACCACAATATCCTTATTACATTTAGCAAAATCAATAATTCTCAAATATTATCTATATTCCATTGTATAACCAAATTGCCTCAAGGACCCCAAAATTGTCTGTTTGACATTGATGAATGGATACTACTGAGAATCCAGAAGTAAATCCACACATATTTGACTAATTTTTTTTTTTAACAAGAGTGTCAAGACCTCTGAACTGGGAAACAGTAGTCTCTTCAACAGATGTTGTCAGAATCACTGAGTATGAACATGAAAAGGAATGAAGTTGGGTCCTTACTTCACTCCATATAAAAAATTAGCTTAAAATGAATCTAATCCTTCAACAGGAAAGGTAAAACTTTACTCTTAGAAGAGAACATAGTGTTAAATCCTCATGACCTTGATGATGTTTTCTCAGGTATGTCACAAAAAGTGCAAGCAAAAACATCAAAACATAAATTTCCACTTCAGTCAAAATAAAAACTATACTGCATTAAGTGCCTCACACAGGACAGTGAAAAGGTAGCTCACCGAAGGAAAGAAAGTACTTACAAATCAAGTATCTGATAAGTTTTAGTATCTAAACCAGAGAGCTGAAATGACCCAATTTAAAAAATGGGTAAAGGGCCAGCATTTGTCCAAATATGTAGTAGAACTAAATAATAAGAAAAGTTGCTCAAGAACATTAGTAATTAGTGAAATGTAAGTAGAAGCCATAAGATATCATTTACCCACAAGGGTGAGAACACTGAAAAAAAAAAGAGTAAAATAGGCGTTGAGGATGTGGAGAAATGAGAGACCTGGTGCATTGCTGGCAGGCATGTAATACAGCCACTGTGGAAGTGAAGTGGCAACTCCTGTTTCATTTCTGTTGATAGCTGGGACCTGCTCCTTTCTGCTTTGTAATCATGCTTGCTAGGCAGCTGCGAGAGGAACCAGAGCTGCCTGGAGAAAGAGGGCGGGATCAAGACTACTTGCATGAAAAAGTATTGAAACGCAAAAGTCTGTACTATATAAAAGGTACAGAGAACAAAAGGCTGCACTCAGCTTTTGGAAAAGACTCCACTGAGCCTATACCAGTACTGAATAAACCTGACTCTTCTGTATCTCCAACTGCGCTTGTCTCTTTCCATTGCCATAATTTTCTGTAACAGAAGTAGTTTGTGGTTCCCTAGAAGGTGAAACATAGAAATTACCTTAAGACCCAGGAAGTC